ATCTATGTGTGTGCAGGTTATGCAGCCTGTTATGAGTCTCTGCACACTGTTAAGTACAGTGTCAAGCTCTTTAGTGAGATAACTTCTGGACCATACAGGAGCACAGTAATCTGCTGGGGCATATACCATTGCAACTGTGGTGGTTCTGCACACTTTGAAGTTGGCACTCCATGTCATGCTAGCTAAAGGTCTTATGGCAGCTGCCCATGCAGACAGGGCCAGATTATGACATGCTGGGGCCCTAAGATATATCAACCTTAAGAGGCCCCATAGCCTTACCAAAAAAAAGTGTATAATTCTAACTGAAAGGACAATGAAAATAGAAATATTAAAGCTTTATATTTGCATATATACATAGGTGAAGTTGCAATGAAAAACAAATAATCTAACTAAAACATATATCTTGCAATAAACCTCTTTGCATTATGAAATACTTTCAAGTTAAAATCCTTTATGGTTTCTTAATTAGCATGTATGAACACTTTTAATTTACAGCAACACAAGAGCAATTACACAGATCAGCACTTACTAAATGGAAGCGGCAATACAACCTGTACTGTGTTTAAAACATTTGCTTTTGTGATTTTTGGAGAGCAAAGTCATTGATGTCCTCAAATGATAAGCTACGAAGTTTATCACTTTCTATGCACATAATGTTTAGTGCAGACAGCTTTTCTTGGAGCATTGTTGTTCGCAGTTCATTCTTGATCTTTTTCAGTTGGGAAAATGATCTTTCTCTTGAGCAGTTTGTTACCATTAGACTCAAAAAGAGCCGCAATATTGCTTCTACATTAGGGAAAGCCAACTGAATCAACCAAAACTGAAACTTTTTTGACAAATTTTTTGTACATGACAGCTCTTTTCTTCAAGTTGGTTTCAAGTCCAAAGAAGAGCCACGCGCATGATCAGAAGTCAGGAAACAGACCTTATGATGAAAGGCTGAGAGCTATGGGACTCTTCAGCCTGGAAAAGCGCAGGTTCAGGAGTGATCTGGTGACTGCCTATAAGTTTATCAGGGGTGCTTACCAGGATCTGGGGGAATGCCTGTTCACCAGAGCGCCCCAAGGGATGACAAGGTCAAACGGTCACAAACTCCTCCATGACCGTTTCAGGCTGGACGTAAGGAAGAACTTTACTGTCCGAGCCCCCAAGGTTTGGAATAGACTGCTGCCGGAGGTGGTTCAAGCACCTACTTTGAACACCTTCAAGAGACATTTGGATGTTTATCTTGCTGGGATCCTATGACCCCAGCTGACTTCCTGCCCCTGGGCCGGGGGCTGGACTTGATGATCTTCTGAGGTCCCTTCCAGCCCTAATGTCTATGAAATCTATGAAGGTACATCCATCATAGGAATAAAGGATTTCACTCGAAACTTGTCTCTTGGAGAAAGCGCTTCATCAACATTAGGTGCATCACCATCATTGATTGTTTTTTTTTTCTCATTCTTTTCCTTTTATTCACACACTTGTAGTGTACATCAGGCAGATTTTCTTTTGCTTTGAGTTCAATTTCATCAAAACTTTCTTGGGTTTCTTTCAAGAAGTGATGTGTAAAACTTTGCACATGTACTAAGTAGGGGTGCACCATTAGAGATTTTTGGGGCCGATACCGATAGCTGATATTTAAAGAGGCATATCAGCCGATACTGATCTGATGTCTGATACAGCTGCCATCAGGTGGTAAGCCTGGTGTGGTGGAAAGGGAGGCGGGAGGGAAGGGGCATGGGGGCGCAGATCAATGCCTCCTGCAGTGAGGGAGGCGGCAGGGGCAGGGACAGGGGCAGGCGCTGCCCAGGTGGGATGGTGGGAGGGGGCGGGACGGAGGCAGGGCTCATGGGGTGGGGTCAGCTCCTGCCACTGCTAAGATCTGGTGTAGAGTCAACAGACAAACTGAAGTTTCCTGTTTTTCTCAAGTCATTCAAAATAGATCCTCTTACTTTCTTTGCCATAACCTGGATGAGTTCATCCCATATTGTTTCAGGCAAGTATGAATGCTTCCCAGATCCACTACTTCCATAATGTTTTATATGGTTAGCAAGAAATGGATCAAACTTAGCAATGAGTTCTATCAAGCCAAGAAAGTTCCCATTAAGTGACAAGCCAAACTTTTCATTGCCTCCCCATCCCCTAAAAGCTAATCCACGTTCTGCTAACGTGCACACAACTGCAATAACACATTCAAGTACATGCCTCCAGTACTCTTGCTCCTTTTTCATCTGTTCCTCCAGGTGTGAATCCAAGGTTAACCCACATTGCCTCATCAAATATGTAAGCAAAGCTGTTCTATGATCCTCAGAGTTCTCATGATTTTGAATTCCAACAGGGTTTCACCATCACTAAACCTATCACTAGCCAGTGCTGTCAGTGATGTTGAGAAGAGATGGCAGACAAAACAGTAAACACAACCGGTTGCCACTCTCGATTGTATTTTTCACCATTAACTTTCATTGAATGAAATAGACCATTTGAACAATTTCTAGTTTGGATTTTGAATGACCACTTTGATTTCTCAAATGGGCTGTTCCAGTGTTGACACTCTGAGAGACCTTTCTGTATCCAGAATGAAATATCATCCTCAATCAAGACACCTCAAAGACCAAGATCATTGGACTTTTTGTATCTACTTTCTTCAGCTGGGATTTCAGGCTCTGTAATGTTCTCAGGTGTAGTCGTCATGTTCACATCTATATCATCTATGCTAGTAGAAGTGGATGCCTGTGGTTGCTGTGGTCCTGACTGACTCTCTTGAGTACGAGGTCCCTCCTTTATTACAGTGAAATAACTGTAATAAAACAAAATGTTCAACTTTTGGTAATTGTTTTAGCTGCCCTTCAATCAGCTGCTTCTTTTTTCTCTTCTGACATCCATTTTCAAAAGTCCCCTTCATTTTTAACAACCAATTATGTAAAACTTGAAACTTTATATTACAGTATAATCTCAAGAATCCGGATATCAAATATTCGACATTCTCAAAAATCTGGCACTTTCCCCAGCTGTTTCAGGACCAGCTGCCACTCCCCCCCTCTGGCTTGGAAGTGGTGGGGGAAGCTTGCACGTGGCTGCTGCCGCTTTCATTAAGCACCCCGCGCCACTGCTCTTTGTGAGGCTGGTGCTCTGGAACCAGCCACCGCTCCCTTTCCCCCCAGCTCCACAATCAGCTACAGTGCCGATTTAAGAAAAATGGCATTTTCAAATTTCTGGCACGTGCTCAGTCCTAAGCACGCCAGATTTGTGGGTTTTACTGTATTTTTTTTTTTATTTAGAGGCCCCTTGTAATGTGAGGCCCTAAGCTATAGCTTACTTAGCTTGTGCCTAAATCCTCCCCAGCATGCAGAGACTTTACTGCTGACCTTCTGAATATGATGTTTATAAAGGAGTAATCTAATGTGACTCCTTGGTAAATTGGGGCATGCTCATGGGGAAGAACATAGTTCTCTACTCTGATATTTAGCGTGCTCTTGGCTCAACAATTGTTCACATGGAAAACAGGTACTGATTTATTGATGCTCCTCACTGACCTCATGCCTTTCAAACACTCCCCCAACCCCACCCCCTGCTCCCAATCCCCACAATCCCCATGCTGCTGGCCTGGAATGAAGCAGAGGCGCCAGGCTTGATCTCCTCTACTGTTTTGTGGGGGCTTATCAGTTTATGTTACATTGAGTGAGGCCATAAATGTGGGTAATTGGCAACAGATTGCACCATCCCTCAAGATCAGGGGTTACTTTCCTAAGAGAGTCCAGCATGTTTACCCGAACAGACCTTGGTATACACTGCATGCTTTTTTCAAGCCCCATAGCTAAGGTGTAACCAACAGGCAAAACTGGGCACCATTTGGCAGAGCAGCTATGAATGAGCCGCACTGCTAGTAAGATGCAGCAGGAAATGGAAATTCTTCCTAACAACCCCCCTGCCACCCCTTTCCTCCTGAAGAACTGGAGAAGGCTCATGCCTCCAGGCCCTGAAGCTTTCCTTTCCCAGCCCTCCTGGCTCCCAGAACAGATAGAGAGCCCAGATGTCTGGGTTTTCCCAGCTGTGACGTGGAACACAGGTGTTCTGTGCTGTGGTCAGCACTGGGTTGTAAAGAGCTGTATGGCTTCCAGCCCTGGGTTGGGGAAAGGGTCTGGACATGGGACTCACTACAGGCCCCTTAGTGTCACCCTTGTCTTCAGACTCCACACTTGCACACGGGAGGCCTGGTCATGAAGCCTGAGATGCTGGATCCAGGATGGTTGCCTGGATACCTACAGAGCGCTGGAGATGTGTTCACAGATGATGCTGGCAGACAAGCTGCTTTGGGTAAAATGTGATAACTTTTATTAGGCCAACTAAATAATTGGAAAATTTGTTCTTTTCAAGCTTTCGGGCACAAACACCCTTCTTCAGGCACAGAGAGAGTCTGTTGATGTTTTATGCTCCCCATGATGGAATAGAAGCCAATATGCAAAAGGCAGGTCTGTGAAAATACAAATGCATGGCAGTGAAGATTAAAGGCAATGGAAGACAATAGGTGTGAGACAGGTGGAGGGGAAGGGGGAAATGCTGACCTGGTGATAGAATGTAGCTGGTAAAATGCAGACAGGTTACCTGGGGTTATCGGATGGCCTGCAGGTTATAAAGTGCCTGTTACCAGGTCCCTTTGGTGGAGCCCCTGTTCGCCTGGTCAAACTCGCCTTCCATGCCTTGATGGGAGAAATTTAGAAATGAGACACAGGTGAAACAGTTCTTAAGGAATGAAAAAAGATTTTACTGAATAACAAGATGCATGGCAGCTACCCCTGCCAGTAACAGGATACAAATGTATGAACACGTCTTGAACTTATTATCTGTCCCCTTCCCTTCCCTCCAGTTTTCTTCTATCCCAAATGACTACTTCCACTCAATTAAAGACATCCCACTTGTTTCCGCAGATCAGTCTGTCTTCTCTGCCTTTCCTGAGGAAGATGTCTCCTCCCGCACAGGTAAGTCTTTCCCAGAACACTCCTACCTCTTGTAGGTCTATGTGATCACTCACCCTGGGAACCAAATCTCAGCAGTCTTCAGGTTTAATCGGTCAAAGGCACTTGCTTTGTCTGCTGACTCATGTCTTCTCCTCCTGGTTCCCTGCTGGGGGTCGATTGCTCTGTGGTGCCGCCTCTTATCTAAAGGTTTGCTCACCCAGCAGTAATCAGCCATATGCTGTCACAGGTGTGTCTTGTTCGGGTTCATTGTCTCTAGTATCCCCAAGGTGGGGCCCATCTGAGATAATGCTTTCTTTAAGTAATAGGGATGCCATGATCCCTGTTACAGTGCCATAAATCCAATGTCTATATACAATCCATGATTTTTTCATATCCAGTAGATTTATGAAGTGAAGTTCATAGGCTTGTCTACCAAAGGTGTTTTTCTTTGAGGATTAGAACCAAAAGATTGGAGAGAGAGTGGTTGTCTTGTGAAAAGTCGGCACCCACAGGTAACTGGGTATTTTCGTCTTTGATAGATTTTTGGTGTGCGTTCATTCTTGTACGCAGTTGTTGTTTGGTTTCTCCTACGTAGTTTCCATCAGGGCATTTAGCGCATTGGATGAGACATATTACATTTCTGGAGGTGCAGGTATAAGATCTAGGAATAATGATGGTTCTGTTGTGGCATGTAGTTATTGTGGGAGTGGAGGAGATGTGATGGTAGTTTTACATTTTTTGTCCCAACATGGTCTGGATCCATTTGGTGTGCTTTGGACCATAGGAAATTTGCTTCTGGTGATGAGGCTGGCAAGGTTTGGTGCTTGTTTAAAGGCTAGGATGGGTGGTTCTGGAAAGATCTCTTTAAGAATTGAGTCTTCTTCTAGTATGGGTTGAAATTCGTTGAGGATTTTCCATATAGGTTCCAGGAAAGGATGGTTTGTCATAACTAATGGTGTGCAATTCATGGGGATTTTCTTTTTGTCCTGCAGCAGTTCTTTATATGGTATCTGGGTGGCTCTTTCAAAAGCATGGTCTATCTCTCCAGAATGTCCTTATTGAGTGAAAACCCTTTTGAGATTTGTGAGGTGATGATTGTAGGTGTTCTCCTCAGTGCAAATGTGGTGGTATCGGAGGGCTTGGCTGTATATTACAGCTTTCTTGGTGTGTTTAGGGTGATTGCTCATTCTGGGTCGATCTGTATGTTGTTTCATGGGCTTATTGTATATGATGATTTGTATTTTGTTGTTTGCCCTTCATGGGTGAAGATTACCACAGCCAGCAGGGGTGGGGAGAAGAGAGAAAAGAAATGGGAAAGAATCAGGGGGGGGAGAAAAGAGAAAAGGAGAAAAAAAGGAAAAAGGAAAGAAGAGAGAGTGGAAGGAGAAAGGAGCAGGGTGAAGGCTAGGTTGTGTGGGTACATAGGTGACTTATAAGCCTGATCTTTGCCTTGAACAATCTGCTGCAGCAGGGGCAGGAAAGCGATGAGGAGAAGGTACGAGAGGTTTTCATTTTCCTGGCCAGGTGTTTTTTCATTGCTTCTGCCGTGCGTTGCTGTTCAAAAGCCAGTGCACCATTCTGGATTGATGACCTTCAGGATGGAAGATCACAAGCAATTTGCTCCCACGACTCCGGGTTGATGGTGAAATGCTTTAGGGATACCTTTAGGGTGTCCTTGTACCACTTCTTTGGTGCGCTGTGAGAGCATACTCCATTTGACAGTTTGCTGTAGAAGATTTTCTTTGGCAGGCGAGTGTTGGGCATTCTTGACAGGTGGCTGGCCCATCTTAGCTGTGCCTGTTTCAGTAGAGTGTGAATACTGGGGAGAGATGATCTTCCAAGCCCCTCAGTATCCA